TTTAATTAAATATATGAGCCAAATAATATGTACGTATTTATTTAATTAAATTTATGTAATGTATGGTTTAATTTAAATTTTATAATTGCTTGTTAACTAGTCTTTTTATATGTATTGTTTTATTTTAACTTGTTATATATATATATATATATTCAATTAAATATTTTCTTAATTCATATTTAATTATTATATTGTATGAAGACTGAAATATAATGTAGGTTAAAATTAAAAGAATAACACACAAACAAATTGAATGGGAAGTTCTGTCTCATTGGTGTCAGAATAAATTCAGTCTCTTTGTCTCTTCAGACTTTAAAATTCAGTGACGATAAGATAAGAACTCACTGAAGTTTATCACAAGCTTCCACACGTTCTCATCATGTATATTGACCCTCCCCAATGCTGGTTTTCCATTCATAAACAATTGGGTGAGTAAAGTGGTGATATGAACAGCCAGCTTCATTAAACCACGCTTCACTTGTAGTAGTTAAAATACTAGGCTACTTTCTCTGAAAAGTATGATTCATTTTACTTGCAAGACTTTGATGGTTTTGTCTTTTCTCCTCATAGTCAGCTTATAGATGCATCAAATCTTATTACAGTACTTATTTTAAAGCCTGTTTGACTTTGAAACGCAGACGCTGCTAAAGAAAGCACATTTAAAGTAAGAGAAATGTCCTCTTTCTAAAAAAGAAGCCTCCGGGCTCTCTTTGGAGGAGTTCTGCACACTATGAACTGGGTTTTGTTCAGTATAGCATCAAGAGAAACCAAGGCATGATGACATATAACTTGTTTAATTATTAAATGATCATCCAACCATGAAAAGGGAGCTCTCTGCACACACAGAAGTGCACATTTTCCATTGTGAAGATATTTTAAAGTTTTATACCAGTGATCTAAAGATCATCTGCTGTCATCAAGGATCAAATTCCTGCATAGACAGACAGTTTAGATCCAGTTGGACTAGTTTGAAGCAAGAGGAGCGTGTCAGTGGCGTTAGAAACTCACTGACACACTAATGCAGCAGCACTTAGATGTTATTCTGATAGCACATTATCCCATCTGTTTGAGTGATGCTTTCTCATTATGTTGCTTGGCGCAGTAATCGGCCATGACTGGATACTTAGCATGAGGATGTCTGACTCTGTTAGTATTGATAGACCTTTCATGACATTACAGATGCAACATATATCATACATGATGTGATACAGATGAGTGTATAGTACTCAACAGTATAGCAGTATATACTCGAGCTGTCTATTTTACGAAGAGTAGAAGAAGCTCATTTTATTTATATTTATATTAACTTAATCATATTTGTATTTTTATTTCATTACGATCTTTCATTTGTATTGTTTTCTACATAATTCCTTTTCAATGATTTCTGTGAATGAATTATTGAAAGGCCACAAGTTCATATTTTACTATACATATATTACGATACATATATTTTACTAGTAGGAACCTCCTGCATTTATATTATTTGGCTACTAGTGAAATCACAATCATTTTTATTTTTATTTTTAGTTATAACTCTAATGATATAATAATCAAATAAGTCATTAGATATGAATATACAGTGGGGGCCAAAAGTCCACTAGTGAAAATACTGTTGTTTTTAAAAAAAAAATTTCAGTAACTATGATATTATCAGCAGAACAATTTTAAAGAAAAGATTCATTTCAAAACTTATTAATAAATGTAACAATCTGAACACCACATTGTGTTTTAAAACATCTATTAAAGCTTTATTTTTACAATGTACAATGTACTGATGTACAATGTGGACTTTTGTACCCCACTGTATATTCATATCTAATGACTTATTTGATTATTGACTTCAAATATTTCTAAAACTTATAAAATTGTAAAACTTCTTTTAAAGTTTTTTTTTTTTTTAATCGAGATGTACACAGTAGCACAGTAAGTCTAGCACAGCAAGTTACAACTAGTGGGAAACATGAACTAGTATATTATTTTTGTTTAGAGGGCAATGTTAAATTCATGGTGGAAGTTTCATTCTCTTGCATTAAACTGGAAATGGAGTTGCATATAAATGTTGTGGGGTCAAGATCAGTCAGACAGGTGCATGAGAGTGGATACTGTCGCCAACACAAACCATGAGCTCCGATCCCACTGGAGCTGTCAGCTGAACAAGCAGCACTCTCGGCTTGTGTTAATTAAGGAACAGCCCTCTATTTCCCATTCCCCACTAATGCTATTGAAGATAGCAATTTAAACGCCTCTCATCAGCATTCCTAGTAGTAAATTAAACCCAGAGAGTTTTCAAAGCTATACAGATTTATAACTGCTGAAATGCACAGCACAATTACAAAAATGGCACAGTTTGCATTAGAAATCATCAGAAAGTAATTGTATTATTGTATGCTTTGACATGTAACCACCATAAGTAGCTATTTCTACCACTGAGAAATGATTTGAAAGTATATTTTCAGAAATTCATTCTGAAGTCATGGGTAGAACACACTTTAAATACTGAACTAAACGAGGGAATTAATGAGACACACCTAAGATCAATCAAACACAATCGGAACAGGAACAGGAAGATAACCAAATATGGGCATGTCATACACGAGGGAAAACTAGATCAATGGGAGCACATGGGGAGCAAAACACACACAGACAGTCCATATTCCTGACATATCGCTCCCCTCCCGGAAGGCACGTCCTCGCGCCGAAGAAACAACAGAAGGAGGGATGGGTGGGAACTTGGGAGGAGGCTCAGGAGGAGGAAGGACACCCGGGAGGGGGCCGGCACACAGAGACAGAGGAAACAGTAGGAGCCAGGGCGGATCAGACAGAGGGTGGAGCCAGAGAGACGACAGGAGGGACATGGAGCAAGCGGTGCCAGGTGGGACCCAGGCCACAGCCGTAATGGGGACCCACAGTGGAGTTGACGGAGGGAGGAGCCATGGTGGAGGAAGGGCTGACGACTCCAGGGGGCCGACCAACGGCGGCGGAGCACGTGGCAGAGGAGCCCGAGGTGGAGACGGAGAGCTGATGAGCCAGGGCGACGCCGAGGATCCGGAGGGCCAAGGCAGATATGGAGGCGGGGATCCAGAAGGCCGCGGGGGAGCCGGAGCGACAGAGGACCATGGTGGAGCCGAAGGGAAGGAGGAGCCTGACAGAGACGGAGGGATGAGGCGCAGCCAGAGGAGTGGAGCCCCGAGGCACAGGATGGTCGACGACAGACCAAGGCAGAGCCGGAGGGACAAGGAAGCCCGGTGGAGCCAGTGGTCTGATGGGCCACGGCAGAGAGGAGGGAGCTAGGAGCCATGGTGGAGCTGCTGAGTCGACGGGCCGAGGCGGAGCCCAGGGCTTAGAGGCTGGAGGCGGAGGCAAGGGATTCTCCAGCCACGGTGACGATGGAGGATGGCAGACCCGCAAAGCACCGTACAGATGGTGGGCTGAGGGCGAGCAGAGGGGCTGCCAGACGACAGCGGTAGAGGAGGCAGCAGCGGGCGGGTGAGCGGGCATTTGTGAGCCCTCTATGGGATGGACAGGGAAACAGGAGCCCTCTCTGGGCTAAACTCAGGAACGGGAGCCCTCTCTGGGCTAATCTTTGGAACTGGAGCCCTCTCTGGGCTGGACATGGAAACGGGAGCCATCTCTGGGCTGGACATGGAAACAGGAGCCATCTCTGGGCTGGACCGGGGAACAGGGCTAAACTCAGGAACAGGAGGGACAGGAGAGGGGGCAGGTCGGTATACAAGTCAATAAGGTCTTCTTCCGCTTTCCATTCACCCAGATCCATTCTCAGCTCACCCTCAACCACTGTGCAGGGGGCGAATCTCCTCTCCGCGCTCTTTCTGTCCTCGGCTTTCT